TGTAGGGAGGAGGCGAGAATTGTGGAGCGCTGTCCTGGCCCGAGCGAACCCGCCCCTCAGGCCCAGTACAGCTCCAGTGGGGTCTGGAGCTAGGAATTATTAAGAGCGGGACAGAAGATAGGCAGAGGGTGCGTCTGCACTGGCCGCGAGTATTTGCCCAAGAACACTGACGTTGTAATGTACAAAATCAGTGGCTCTGGCGCAAATACTTCGCCGCTCCTGCTCAGGGATGAGTCCTCCTCCACAACTCCGCCCCTCAGGCCCAGTACAGCTCCAGTGGGGTCTGGAGCTAGGAATTATTAAGAGCGGGACAGAAGATAGGCAGAGGGTGCGTCTGCACTGGCCGCGAGTATTTGCCCAAGAACACTGACGTTGTAATGTACAAAATCAGTGGCTCTGGCGCAAATACTTCGCCGCTCCTGCTCAGGGATGAGTCCTCCTCCACAACTGTTCTTGTGCAAGAGGCCAGTGCAGACAGGCAACATTAATTTCTTGCGCAAGAAAGCCCAATGGCTAAAATGGCCATCAGAGCTTTCTTGCGCAAGAGAGCATCTACACTAGCACGGATGCTTTTGCGCAAAAGCACATGCCAGTATAGACGCTCTCTTGCGCAAATACTTTTAGTGGAAAAACTTTTCCGTTAAAAGTATTTGTGCAAAATCATGCCAGTCTACATCTAGCCAGAATATCTTACTGCCCCTGTATAAAACTACGGTACGCCCACATCTTGAATACTGTGTACAGATGTGGTCTCCTCACCTCAAAAAAGATATTTTGGCCTTGGAAAGGGTTGAGAAAAGGGCAACTAAAATAATTAGGAGTTTGGAACAGGTCCCATATGAAGAGAGGCTAAAGCGACTGGGACTTTTCAGTTTGGCAAAGAGACTGAAGGGGGATATGATAGAGGTATATAAAATCATGAATGGTGTGGAGAGGGTGAATAAAGAAAAATTATTCATTAGTTTCCATAATATAAGGACTAGAGGACACCAAATGAAATTAACGGGTAATAGGTTCAAAACTAAGTGAAAGTTCTTCACACAGCGTGTAGTCAACCTGTGGAACTCCTTGCCAGAGGAGGCTGTGAAGGCAGGAACTATAACAGAGTTTAAAGAGAAGCTAGATAATTTCATGGAGGGTAGGTCCATAAAACGCTATTAGCCAGGCGGTAGGAATGGTGTCCCTGGCCTCTGTCAGAGGCTGGAAATGAGACAAATCTCTTGATCATTGTCTTCGGTCCACTCCCTCCGGGGCACTTGGCATTGGCCGCTGTCGGCAGACAGGCTACTGGGCTAGATGGACCTTTGGTCTGACCCAGTACGGCCAGTCTTATGTTCTTAAACCCCATCCCTCTGCACATTTTCTCTTTGCTGAGACTCCCCTCTTTTTGCTTAAGTCCTGCCCCTGCCCTTCACCTTGTCTGAAGCCCCACCCTTGCTCCCACATCTTCATTTATTTTCCATGGAGAAGGGCCAAAGTGTCAGCCTGGGGGTACTGGGGATAAGGAATTTGGGGGAGTGGAGCTGAGGGATTCAATGGCTGAGGGAGCTATGGGCTCCAGGGGAGAGTTTGGGTGCAGGAGGGAGTTAGAGTATAGGCAGGGACTCAGGGGTGGGGTACAGAGTCTGGACTGGGCATATGGCTCCTATGGTGAGGCCAGAAATGAGAGGTTCATGGTGCAAGAGGGGGCTCAAGGCTAGGCTTTGTGTGAGTGGGTACAGGCTCTAGGTTGGAATTTGGGTGTAGGAGGGGGCTGAGGGATGGGACGAGGATATAGTAGGGTGTGCCGGGTTCAAGCCCCAGGAACGAATTTGGATGTTGAGGAGGCTTCATGCTGGGTAAGATTTTGGGATGTGGGCTCTGGTCATTTACCTCATGGGACTCCCCAGAAGTAGCAACCTCTCTCGGCTCCTAGAGGCAGCCAGGAGCAGTGTGTGGTGTACAGCCTCCAGAGGCAGCACATGGCACTCTGGTCCCTGAGGAGGTGGGCAAGCACCATGTAGTTCCCCACTCGCTGAGGGTAGGTCCAGGTGTGCAGCCCCTTTGAGCATCAGGTGGCATGGGCCCAAACAGGAGGCAGCCCCAGCACTCCAATTGGGTTTTTGGGGAGGATTGTTGTTGGAGCTACACAGGGCTGCTTAGGGAGGCGGAACGTTCTCCAGCCTATGCAATATGCCGTCCCTGAACTTTAATGTTCTTTCAGTGCTCTAGAAAATAGTAATAGAGAGGTAGCTGTGTTAGTCTGATCTTGCAAAAAGAAAAGGAAAAATTATGTAGCACTTTAAAGACTAACAAGATGGTTTATTAGGTGATGAGCTTTCGTGGGCCAGACCCACTTCCTCAGATCATATTCTGGAAGAGAATGGGCATGACCATCTATATACCAAAGGAATACAATGAAAAAAGTGAACACATTATTAAACTGACAAAGCAGATTTAGTACAGAAGGTGAGATGAGGGAGAGGGAGGGAGGGAATAGCTATTTATGAGTCAATGAATGGGTAATCAGGGGTGATAAGTGGGGAAGTTATCATTGTAATGGTTAAGGTATCAAGTATCAGAGGGGTAGCCCTGTTAGTCTGAATCTGCAAAAGCGGCGAGGAGCCCTGTGGCACTTTATAAACTAACCGAAGTGTTGGAGCATAAGCTTTCGTGGGCAAAGACCCACTTTGTCAGATGCACATTTAAGATAATTAGCATCTTTAAGGCCCATTCTTAAAGTGTCAAATTTAAGCATGAAAGAACTTTCTGAAGTTTCCCTCTGTAATCTGGTGTTGAAGTCTCTGAAGTAAAATGCATATAATAAAGTCGTTAAGATTATGTTCAGGTAGGTTGAAATGAACGGATCTGTCAGTTTAATAATGTGTTCACTTTTTTCACTGTATTCCTTTGGTATATATGGTCATGCCAATTCTGTTTCAGAATATGATCTGAGGAACTGGGTCTGGCCCACGAAAGCTCATCACTTATTAAACCATCTTGTTAGTTTTTCCTTTTGTTTTTGCTAGAAAATAGTGTGTATATGCCTTCTCACCAAAGCAGTCTTTCAGCTCAGGCTGCACAAAAGGAACAGTAACATAATACTGACTATACTTAGTTCCCCCCTGCTATTCTAGTAGACATTTACAGAGGAAGAATTCTGTTGCTAAAAGTGCTGGAATTAGCGTGTTCCCAGACAGCTAAAGTGCAAAACTTAATAACCCTGCTGATTTTAAAACAACATTGTTTACAAAGCCTGAATTCTGACTAGCAACCATCTCACATCCAGTCTCCAGCTATTTCAGCAAGCATTTCTCCTGAGAGCAGGGGCCTAGTGTTTTCATAGCAGCAGGAAACAGCTCTCTCAAACAAAATATAGGACTATGTAGCACTCTCAAACAGGCTGTCTCTAGGCACAAGGCAGTTATCTAAAAGGAGTTTAATGTATGGAGTCCAGGTTGAGACACTGTCATCATAGCTGTAGAACTTTTTGTTTTAAGCTTAAAAAAAACCAAATGGACTTACAGAACCTTAGAGACTAACAAAAAATGTAAATAGTATCATAAGCTTCAGATGAATGGAGCAAGGGGCCAGATAAATAGCAGAAAAAGGGGAAATTGGGAGGGAAAGAAGAACAAAATCTTGCCACTTAGTGTCCATGCTAAATGAGGTTAAAAGAGTGGGCTGTAAGTATCAGGCACTTGCAGCCTGATATTAGCCTCATTTAGCTCAGACATTCTCTAATTCACAAGATTTTTTTCCCTTCTCTCTCTCTCCTCATCTTCCCCCTTTCTGCTATTTATTTATACCTCTGGACCCCTTGCTCTGGTTGTATGAAGTGGGTTGTGCCCACGAAAGCTTGTGATACCATCTACATTTTTTGTTAATCTTGAAGGTTCTGCAGGACCATTCGTTGTTTTAAGTTTTTTCAGTTACGTGGCAGACTAACATGGCTCCTCCTGTTTTAAGCCTGTTATTCTGCTCACATTACTGTTCTGCATGCATCATTGTGGTATCCAAACTCCTATTAAACAAGGTGACTAATGTCTGTCAAATGCAGCCCCTTTCCATTTCCTTCTCCCCAGGAGAAAGCTGTATGCATAGCACATATGGGGGTAAGACAGACTACATCTAGACAGCAGCGCTATTTCCGGATACCAGAAGTATTCCAAAATAGCTATTCTGCATCTTT